CCATTTTACGATGTGATCAATCGTGGATGACCAAATCGTTAAGCGTTGACGATTTATAGATATTCAAATTCAATTCGCCATTTCATCTTATGAAATGATCGACTATTTCATGAAATGGTTAATTCTACGATATGGCAACGACATATCCACAAGTTTTATTTCTCGGGCTATAGGCCAAACGGTTGAGTGGATTTTGACCTAGGAGGGGTTGTGGGAAACGTCTTAGCTGTGGGAATGTTAATACCTACATTAACATTTTATTACGTAAAAATGGCGGATTTTAATCGAATATTTCAAGTCTGATAACGACCTGATGGACTTTACTTTAGTATCTCTAGACTTGTCGTGGTAGCCCTAGTAGTAGTAGTATTTATTGGTCATGTTGATACATAAGTATATATGGCAAGGCAATACAAAGAACAAAAATAAGCAAATAAATAAACAAACAGAACATCACAGCAAAAACTTATATAATAAGAAGTAGCTTCAACATGCTAAAACATGTACAAATACTGGATAACTCATGGTCAATTAAATTATTTGTCCTTGTGTTCTAAAAATTCACCAATCATATAAAATCCTTCCCCTGATAAAAGTAATTCCACTACATATTTAAAATTTTTTAATGTATCCATTTTTTAAAAATGCTGAGGCAGCTTATTATAAAATATTACACAGTTTTAATGAGGTGAGCCCTTGAAGTGACTGGTGTTGTGCTTGAGGACACTTAATGTCGCACTGTTTATGGCATTATATGTGTGGTACTGCCACAGACCCTCGAACTGGTACATGTTTTTCCAAACGTATAAAAGACACTTAAAAGTGTAAACACAAGCTACAGTTCCAATTTTCTTAGATTTATGGGTGGTTCTAGATGTATTACCAGGGGGAAGATTGAAAATTAGTCGTATTAGTCTTTTTGTCCTACAAATAATCTCACAATGGATAAGAAAAAGTGGATGCGCAACTAGCTTTGAATCTCAATTAAGTGTCTTTGGGACAAGAACCCAATGTAATGATCATCAACACATGCATCTTACAGCTTAGACCTCCAGTATACTGCCATCTCAGAAGCAGATTTTACATCACATCAGAGCCAAAGATTGATAACAAGCCTCATGACGTTTAGGCAACACGTACAACTAAGTGCTAAGTTAATAATAATAATAATAATAATAATAATAATAGCCTTTATTAACCTGGCGGGTGTCAGCTAAAAGCTGTTTTTCATATCAACCAGGGCCAAACAAAATTATAATACAAAATCTGGGAGACATAAACATTGTTGAGTAGCAATAATGAAAAATCTATTATGCCAAAAATAGGCATTTTTTTAATTTAAAGAAAAAATCATATATATTCACAGTTAACAGTTACACCATTACATAAGTTAAAAACTAAATAATATAAGGTATTATGACATATTTTCAAAAACAAATTTTTTTACTTTTGACCTAAAAAGTGGAACAGATAAAACTTTAAAGCTGACAGGGAGCACATTATAGCGATTGGGTGCAACAAAAGGGAAACTCTTAGTAAATAGGGTGGTTCTATGATGGGGCGTGTTAAGGGTATAACCAACGAAACGGAGGTTGGCTGCATGATGCTGACTTCTCAAGGATAACTTATTATTTAAGTATATAGGGTATTTGGTCAATAAATGCTATGAACCAAACATAAAATGTGAACCAACCACCTCTGCCTCATCGTCAACCAATTCACTTCTTGAATAAATGGAGACACTCGCTCCCTTCTTCGGATTCCAACAGAATATCTAATACAGCTGTTCTGCACTTTCTGAAGTCTGTAAGCTTCGGCTTCAGTCAAACAAGGACCAAACACGGAACTTCCATATTTTAACTTACTTAAAATGAGTGAATCGCAAAGCTTAATTTTAGTATCTTGAGCCAACACGTGCTTAAAGCTGTAGATGCTTTTTAGTTTAGCAAAAGAGCTCTGTACAACCTTAGAAATATGATCATGAAAAGTTAAGTGCTCATCAAAGATTATTCCTAAGTTTAATACCGATATTTTGTGTGTGAGCTCTTCACTATTGAGGCATAGCTTTATAGCATCTCCACTGAACTCGTTCTTCTTAGAGCGGAAGGTAATTATGGCCGATTTGCTACAGTTTATGTGTAACCCGTGGTATCTAAACCAATCACAAACGCCGCTTAAATCTACCGCTAGTTTTTCATTAGCATCAACACATGAGGAGGGATCATAGGATAGATAAAGCTGGGTATCATCAGCATAAGAATGTAAAGCGCAATGTTTGACCGACCCATCCAAGTCCGACACGTATAAAGTAAATAAGATTGGTCCTAAAATGGAACCTTGCGGCACCCCCTTTACAATGACCCGATTGTCAGAATAGTCACTGCCTATTTTAACTTGTTGAAGTCGATCTGATAGGTAATTGTCAAACCACGTAATCGAATTCTCAGAAAAACCAAGAAAGTGCAGCTTAGCCAATAATATTTTGTGGTTTAAACAGTCAAATGCCTTTCTTAAATCCAGCAGAACAGTTGTAGTTACGCAGGAATTATCTATAGCTCTCAAGTAGTCATCACAAATGTCAACTAATGCAGTCACAGTACTATGATTTTTTCTAAATCCCGACTGTGTATTTGGAATTAAGCTGTATTTATTGATGTGTGTTAGCATTTGCTCGTAAACGATCTTTCTAGAATTTTTGACAAGAGTGAAAGTATACTTATAGGCCTGAAATCGCAAGGCAATTGGGGATTATCGGTTTTACCAACGGGAATAACAGTTGCGGCTTTCCATATGAGTGGAACGATACCATGTTCCAAAGAAAAGTTTACAATATGAGTAAGTGCCTTGAGGCAAAAAGGAAGAATATAGGAAAATGTATCTATATTTAATCCATCTAGTCCGGTAGCACGCGAGTTTATTTTTTGAAAGGTCTTCAAGACTTTTTCCTCGGTAACAAACTTAAACTGAAATAGGTCATTGATATTTGGTAGCATGTTGGTGTTGTAGTACTCTAAGAGTGTTTCATTTATTGAGTTATCGGGAACTGAATCCACAAAACAGTTGTTTAATATGTTGGGTTCCAAAGTACACTGATTATTTTACCCTTAGAACCATGAATCCCTAGCTCCTTTATAGCTTTTCACCAGCTCCGAGAACTGTTGCTTTTTCTTAGCTGGTATTCAATATATGCTTTTTTTTTCGCGCCTAATAGATGCTGTGACTAGATTCCTTAATTGCTTATAGTAGTTCCATTTGGCAGTTTTTATCTCGTCAGAAAAATTGTTCTTAACAGTTTTCTTATACTTAGAATAGGCGTTATTGCGTAACCGCATCATGAATTTAATATTGTGTGTAATCCAGGGACAACGTGCTTTTGATATCTTCCTGGTTTTAATTGGTGCGCATATATTTAGCAGATCATCAATAAGGCTGTAAAAATGTTGCAGTTTTGATTCAATGTCATCATAGTCGATGACACCTAGCCAGTGCATATTAGACGCTACCTCATTCAAAAGAGACTCATCAATATTCCTTAAATCACGGGTCTGTACATATTTTGTATCTCTAACGGCTGGTTCACATTCCACACAAAAATAAACTAGATAGTGATCGGACACCGCAGGAAGATTCACAACTCCTTTATTAGCAATCTTAACTTCATCATTAACGAAAACGACATCTATTAAGGTACTACTGTTACTCGTGACCCTGGTTTCATGGTCAACTATTTGATGCAGATTCAAATCTTCAAAAATGTTAGAGACAAAGACACATTCAGGACTACTACAATCAAAGAAGTTAATATTCAAGTCGCCCATGCATACTAAACCCTCTGATGTTGGAAATATAGATGTCAACATTTCCTCCAGCTCCGACAGAGTTCTATAGCTGACACTGGGGGGTTTATAAACTACTCCAACCGTGTACTTTTTTTTGTTGACAGATATATTTACCCAAAGCTGTTCAAAACCACTGTTCACCTCTGCATGCAAGTTCTCCAGCATTGAGCATCGTAAGCCAACTCTTACATATAAGGCAATACCTCCGCCTCGCCTATCAACCCTGTCATGCCTAAAAGGCTGGTATCCCGCAATTTGTACATTACTTTCAAAAACGTCTGGTTTGAGCCAAGTTTCTGTGAAACCAACTATGTCAAAGTTTGAGTGAGAACATAGTCCCTCACATCATGAAAAGAGCAAATTAGCGACCTAACGTTGAGGCACCCTATCATTATATTATGCTCCTCATTACGAATGACATCAAATTCACATAACAGAGACATAATGAAACAAAATATAAGGATATAAAAACAAACAACAAGAAATAAAAAAGAGTATGAGATAAAAAGATTAAAAAGATGGATAAAAAATGTGTTGTATGGAATAAAATAGAAATAAATAATATACGTTAATAAAAATAAGCCAAAGGATGTACTAGGAGTAGTTTGTTTTACTCCTGATAAACTTTTCAATGTTTTGTAGACACGCACACCTGTTATCCCATACAGAGTGACAGGTATCATAGTTTTTACCAAGTTTATTATTGGCATATATATAATATCTTGTAGAAAAACCTACATAATGTAAAAAAAACAGCATAATGTCGAACTGACTTTAACAGTTCCGAAGGGGTATTACGTAACATAAAAGTGAAATTATGTCTGTTTTTTCAACATTATGTAGGTTTTTCTAGAAGATGCCAACTAGACACTAGCTGTCGGTCACTTCATGCTACCAGCTATCTAGTTATTGAGATTTTATTATTTTGTTACATTATGTAGATCTTTATCGTAATAACCCTGTCGGTTCTGCGAGAGAGCCAAAAGTTTGGATTCGACAGCACATGGCGTCATAGCTGGAAAGTTGGATTTTGTAGAGGCCATTTTGTGCGTTTTCTAACTTGTCAATCTTCTCATACAACAAACCTAAATCTTAGCTGCTTATTGAGCCGTTTATTACTCATATTCAAAAAAAAGTGACAAAGATTACTTAAGACGGAGATTACTTTGTAGTTCAAGTATAGTACAGCTGAAGTGTTGATAACTTTAATGAATTTGTCATATTAATCGTCTTTTCATTGCAATTCAATTAATAGCTTAGTGATGCTAACATTCCACTTAATTTTCTCCTCTGATACTGTAACAGAGCGTGTCTTCTCCAAAGGCAAAATGATTAACGCCTCCAGCTCTGAAAAAAGACAAAACAGCGTTCTATCTCTTTAAAATATTCAACCAAGCTTCTTGTTCAATCTGCCACCTCCTTCTCCCATTTCTTGGAAAATATTAAAAATAAATCAAAAAACAATAAATTCTCTCAAATCCCACGTGTAGCAGACGGAACCTTGATAATATCAAATTTTACTTTAATCAAGGCTACCTTCACGACGTCAAGCCATGTAATTCTCTGTTCCAACAGAATAGTTCGGAGCCAGTTCTGAACAGGCAAGCACAGAAAATGATTTGAAATTAGTTCTGAACTAGTTCAAAACTGCGTGTTGGAACAAACGATTCATCTTGATGGCACAGTTAAAATCGACTATTTTGAATTACTGCAGTCGTACCTTTTATATTTTACTTTCCACGCCTACTGGTAAATTTTTGAAAATGAGCTACCTACGTTTTTTGTATGTTATGTGTCACGTACATTAGGAAAAAGCACGTCACTCATTTCCGTCGGTCTGTCTGTCTTTGTCTGTCGGTCTGTCCGCTAATCTTATAACCGCCTATAACTTAAGAAGTACCGCTCGGATTTCGAAGAAATTCTTACACAATGTTACTACTGTGCGAAGCTTTGTAGTTTTTGAAAATCGGTCCATAGGCGGCAGTTAAAAGGCCTTAAGCGAAAAAAGTAAAAATCGTTTTATGACGCTTTTGAAAATTTTTTTAGAAAAAATAGATGTGGGGGTTGTGAAAGAGTGGAGAGGGTTCGTCTGAATTTTTTGATGCTGGTTCATTCATTAGCCCTCAAAAAAGATTTTCTCAGGAGACAGATCGCGTATTCATTTGCCGAGGCTGCTGCTGGCGTCGTGCGCTGACCGTGATGAGTTTTCTGGTATGGAATCTGACGCATTTCTGCCGCGCAAAAGCATAGTGTTTTTATGCTCTGACCGCGCTACCACGGTGCCACGTCTGCTCGAAGTAGGAATCGGAGGGAGGCGACGTTTCCACATACACTACTGGTAAGGCAGGGAAAAAATATCTACAGACTAATTGTATGGCCCTTTTTGATTGACCTTTTTTCTCAGTGAGTCTAGTTTGTGCTGAAAGTATCCCTTTATGTACTTGAAAGACAACATTTGTAACGAAATCGCAGTTTTAAAGCTCGAAACCCCGCGGGAATTTATGGAAAACGATATGAAAGGTCACGAGTTCAAAAAACTTACGCTTAAATAAAAATCTGAAGCCACAACGTTCATTTAACGCCAGCTGATACTACCAAGTATCACGCATTTTTGGGCATCAATCGATGTTTTCTGCCTTTTTATTCCTATATGCCTATAAGCTTTGCTCCCCTGAGCTCATTTCCATAAGGCAGATTCCCGTTAAGGTTTAGCACCTCATTCTATCTTGGTCGAGCTGGATTCATCGAGATCTGGAAAATAAGTCCACTCGCCTGTTCTTAGAGTAACAAGAATATGGAAGAATCCTTTGACATAGACACTATGACGTCTAGCACAAGATAAGCCTTCGAGAACATGTATAACAGCGAAATTAAACGTATCAAGTCAGTCAAACAGACCGGTACAATTGGTCCATAGACATTAATTCGCTTCCCTACTGGTAGTACTCCCCATTTGGCAACGTTGCTCCTCCCCCCGGCAGTTATGGCACTACGCTCATCGAGACCTACCGGTGAACCCAGAGAACAGAAGCGTAGGTATCGAAAAAATTTCTCTATAGTATTCTTGGTTTTAAGTGCAAATAGGTGGAGGTAATTATATACGAACATCAAAAAATTGAGATATATCCCTCAGCCCCTGCAACCCCCAACCCCCAATTTTTAAACCCAACAAATTTTTTTAAATGGTCATGAACCTCTTGAAGGTGAAAATTAAGGTTAAGAGATGTCTATTTTTTCATCTTCTTGCTCTGTAGCCCCACCACCACTGGACCGATTTTGCAAAATTACAAGTCTTTTTCGCCCTTGGCCTAGTAGTATGTCGGTGGCATAGGAAGTCAAACTGGTTTAGCCGGTGGTAAAACTCTATAAGAGACTTTTCTCAGTTCTACTACCCTTCAAAAAATTCAAAAGAACCGCTCATCTGATTCTACGCTCCATATTATATAACTACGATTTACTAATGGTGAGTTAATGCATGTGATTTCCAACGGCCTCTGTGGAAACACAATTTTTCTGGCTGTCACATACAATCGCAATGTTACAAATTATTCTAATGGGGTATGACAAATGATTCCGAATATTTAAAGCGAAATGAAAAATGAAACAAGAATTAGACTGAACTTGGACAAAGCAGTATGTAGGGGTGTTGGTGAAGCCTTGTTACCCTTCCAAACGGGAAACATTTTTGTTGAAATATTTGGCTTCAACTATGGCAACTTTATCCCAGCTATAAGAGCATATTGCATAACAGTTGATTCTCGGCTATATCACCTATGCCTCGACTGTATTGGCTGCATCAGATACATCTCGGCTTTATCAGCCATATCGCGACTGTATAAGCTATATCTAGGTTATACATTTGCTGTATCAGTTATGTCTCAGCTATATCAACTGTATTTCAGCTATATCAACTATATATCGGCAATGCCATCCAAATGTTATACTCCTCAAAAATGATCAAGAGTCTTTGAAATGTCAAAAAATGATTTTTTATCGCCTGCAGCTCTGCCGCCACTGGATTCATTGTCAAAAACTGCAAAACCTTTTCATCCTTTTTATAGTAATTCTGCATGAAAATTCAATCAAAGATTGGCGGACCGACAGACCGGCAGGCAGATCGACGGAAGTGAGTAACATGGGTCTTTCTTGATGCAACATCCTAACCACCGGTGGCGTATGAAGTAAGATATACAATATGTTTTCATACACAAGCATTGTCGAGCCTTAGCTGCTTCTAAAAATAATATGACTAATAGTTGCTTCTGTAAATGAGATAACCACATGCTTATTTAATTACATCACCAAGTGAAGGTGGCATCAGTTTTTAAGAAGGATATTAGGATAACCCTTTTATCGACTATAACAAGCGTTATCGTAGCATGACGGAGCCTCTCTATATAACAGCTCAGTCATACATTAATATTATTCAAGTGCAAGGTATGTGCATCAGTTCAGATAGGTATGGCCGATATGGAATGAATTCAGGAAGCTGCAACATCGTCCAAGCTTAGTTACTCTAAAATGTTTCTACCAGCTTCTAAATCATATCGCTTCAATGTTTCCATTGATACCCTTAAAGAAAAATGACTTCAAGTAGGTTGACTCTGCACTTTGCACGCAACGTCATTAAGGATCATGCCCAGCACAAATTAAACCCTATCTAAATAAGGCACCATAGACCTTAAATCCTGGATAGCGGACAGTTGATATGCTTTCGTTCGTTGTTCCAGGCCAGGCCATGCTGATGAGTTGTCAAACAAGCACGAAACAAGCTGTCCATGGTTATTTCGTAAAGAACCTATATAATGTCAACTTGTTGACTAAGTACCAAATAGTTCTTTCCGCGTTTCCTGCAAGTGACCATGAAGTGAACGACAGCTAGTTATGTCTATGGACTAACTGTATGGACCTGTATGACTGACTTGATTTAATTTCTGTGTTATACATGTTTGTAACTAACTTTTTGCAGAGGGCCTAACTTGTATTTAACATAATCTTTATGAGCTGAACGGAGTTGCCTAGGAAGCGCATAGTCAAAACCTACTTGCGTCAATTTTTCGTCTTTGATATATTATATGTAGTAACCTTGTGGGAAAATTGCATCCAAATCGGCGCAGTACTTTCCAAGTTATAGACGAATCAAGGATTTGCAGACGGACCGACAGACAGACTGCCAGACAGACCTACGGAAATAAGTAACAGAGTTTTCCGAAAAACATAATATCTCATTTACGACATATTCGCGATTACAATGCTTCCTCGCCAGAAGAAGTGGGAATTAATATAAAAAGTTATCATTTTCTTCTTCTCTATTCGATGAGCTATAGGAAAATTGCTTTCTTAGATATTTGAAGATGTATAATATAAATTCAAGTTATGATATATAAAATACTGTCTGCAAATGACCAGTTCAGTAAGGCTGAAGGAGTGGCTGGCTGATCATATTATGAAGCAAGTAACCCTCTGATAATTTCAAGACCTACTGAGAAAATTCTATCCCTTTTATAAGTATAGTCCCACAAGAGTCCTTTTGGACAGTCTCCTCTACTGAGAGAACCCTCCACGCAACAAAAAACCTTATTTAGAAAAAATTTTAAGTCAACTTCATTACATAGTCTCGCATAACCAGCATCCTCAAACTTCAACGTCCCCCAATATACAAAATATACAAAGCTCCCTCACCAGCAAAATTCTTCTTTTCCAGCACTTTATGAACACTTCAATTAGGCCACTCAACACGAAGAATCCAACGAACTTCCACGTAAACCCACAAGTTTTAAATTGTTCCGTGCGGTGCGTATCGCGGCAACTTTGGCGTCGAGCGTCGAAATCGAGTAGCGGTGGCGTTATTCAACTGTCTCGTCCGGTGCAACGGCGATCGCAGTAGGCGTCCCACTGCCGCGCGATGCCGCGGCGAGCGTCGTTCAAGAGCGGAGCGGCGCGCGGCGTCGGGCGCCGCTATAGGCGCCGGCGTCGTTTTTGAGGAGAACTTCCTACACTTTTTGAGTTTGCAGGATGCTTTAGGATCACATTTGGGTGCATGAATGTACAAGTAGCTTATGTCCAAATCAACAATTTTACAGCAGAGATTTCTAGTAAAATTTTCCATTTTCCATATGGCATCAAGAAGGTTTTGTTAGAACCAATTATCAATAATTTGAACCCTTCATTGTCACGTGCTAAAATCACGTAACCTTTTTTGCTATTTTGATTACTTACCAGTAATTGGAATCTCTCCTTATTAATGGTAGAGTGTCTATTCTTAGGCCAAACCCTTTTCTTTTGGCACATTTCATAGTTTATTGATTGTACAATATCACACTTATATAACCTATATAATATATGATTTCCTATCGAACATACCTTATTCAAGGTCACTCATTTAATCTTCTTTTACAAGGTTTGGTGTTCTGCGTCATTTTATTTTCCTGTTGAGGTTATGGTGTGGTCGTTTGTCCTACTTCCAAATTCTAGGATATTACGCTACAAATACCAGTTTATGGAGTAGCATCCTTTCATTTTGTACCTTACGCTTAGTTGTTTTGATTTGGGTGCTACCCCGTCCATTTTCGTATGGGATTTCAACCTTCAGTGTGGGAAGGCATTGCGGAGAACTACCATTCACACTCCTCCAGCTTTGTTTTGTAGCTGCCTTGTAGCTGTTTCGCAGCCGATTTTGTTGGAGACCACCGCTCGCCTTGACAAAAAACCCTGATGTGAACATGTCTTTTTTTCACCGTGAATTTTGGAAAACGAGGCAAGCAGCCCCTACCTTGTGACGTTCTTCACGTCACTGCCGACTGCTGGTCACTGGTTTTTGACCTGAGCGTTTGCGAGCTGAGAACATCTTAGCTGTACCTTTGTAAAGCCTTCGTACGTGTACCATCGTAACCTTATTGCTTTGAAGCTCTGGTGAAAAACTGCCTCCCACCAATCTTTGTTAACTGATTATAATAGCTGGTAATATATACTCATAATCACTATTAGTTCCATACCATATAGATATACTATATTATATTATCTCACGGAATCATGTAACCTGATTTAATTACACTCCAAGAATAACTCTCATATATGTTGATAATATCCCACCCACCTCGTATGTGCATATTGCGTTGCCATCCGCTACCTGCTTTCATGAGTTACCCGCGTCGACTACCGTTGGATGCCAATAATACTTTTTATTCCCATCGCTGGAAATTGTTCAGGGAAAATGGCGCGCTTCTGATAATCTACTGCTTGTAAAGTATCCTAATCTCAAAATATATAGAACAGCACTACCGTTCGCTCTAATTTCGTTTTATTTGTGTCAAATAGTATCGTCAGAACCATTTTATAGGAAATAGAAGCTCATGATGCTTAATAAGATCTACTCAGGGTAATTTGTATGATGCTCCCAGATGAAAATAATGCGATGTCCTGAACATAAAGTTTAGTGTGTTCCAGATTCGCTTTTCTATACACGGATCTCGGGTCCTGTTATACCTACAGCAAAGGCTAAAAGAGGGAAGTTTTATAGGAAACTTAGTGCATTCGATAAATGGCTTCAGGTTTACTATCGGTGAATTGGTTTGGAAACATCGGCGCAAAACCGAAAATATCGTATTTTGTTTTTTTTCGGTAAATTCGAAACGGTTAATTTGACAGCTGTCAAAATGTGACATTATTCGAAAAAAAAATTATTTTGAGACAAGTAAGATGCGTGTATGACATGTCTCAATCGTCTTTTGTTTTCCCGCAGCCTGCCTCAACTTTCAGTTTTCTTATTGGATTTTTGGATTTTTGATAAGAGCGTAAAATTTCCAGCCTAGTGATGTTTCACAAGTGCATAAAAGATTGGCGTATCACCGATATTATCATCACACATAATGTTATGTATTATTTTTTTTTCTAAGAAGGCCATGATTTATTTGTCAGCTAAAATAAAATTAATAAGTAACGAATTTTTTCTTTTTTTCATCTAAGGAGCTTATTGACCGATCGTAAATTTGAATCCGGCTATCGAATGCACTAAGTTTCCTCTAAAACTTGTCCCATTTAACTTTTGATGTAGGTATAACAGGAGCCGAGATCCCAGGATAGAGAAGCGAATCTGGGTCACACTGTATAGCTGCAACTGTATACGCGTATATAATGATGTATTTTTATATAATGTCAATGCGCCCATCACTGCTTTTCAGACTGAGCGACGATTGTTGAGTAGAGCTGGTTGGCTGGACTGTTTTCTAACGTTTCGGTCACCTCGATGGCCTTTTCCAAGTTGAAATCAAAATTGACAGTGACAAGATATGTTATATTCATTTATCTATGAAATGCATTGCCATTGTCATTTTTAATTGTACTTTGTAAAAAGCTACTGATGTGGCTAAAACTTTCTTGCACTTCCACCTTAATTATAAGAAATATTTTAATTTTAGTTGAATGTGCATCATACTTTGTACATACAAAGAGTACAAAGAGAAGACAGATAAGGGGAATACATTAAAGATAGAAAAGAGATGCAACCCAAAAAATGGATTCATCAAAACAGCTGGGGTGTTGATGGATAAATAATTATTTTTTGATGAATTTATTGACACTTGTAATGAAAGCCTTTATTATTTGAATTTACTTTTGTGTAGACATTTATCCATGGTGGGGTTAAATGAAGTTATAAATCGCGCTTTTCTCGAGTGTATATAGAAATTTGTAGCAATACTCGAAATAGAACGACAGCTTAGAATATTATCACTCTTATATAATAATTTATTAGTAATCCGGAAATAGATTGGCTCAGAATCTGACAGAGCAACTTATTTAATATTAAAACTTATTCTCTATTTGCTTCTCTGTCAGGATGGCCGAGGCAGTCTCAAACCACGATAGCTACAGTCACAACCCGCTGCATTTATTTGGCAAATAAAGACATATTGAGAGGCATTTCTGGAAATTTGAATGGGTTATGTCTCCCTTCCGGTTTAACTGGAAGTGACCTTCTCTTTCATTTTTCGAATGTTACCCCGTATATTTTCTTCCTTGATCGTACTCTATCCAAAATTCCCTTCCCAAAGATTGACACAAGTGACATTTTTGTTTTAAAATAGCGGCGCTATAAAGGAATTTGTGCATAACCTAAAGTCCGCCATTTGCTTACAAGGCAAAGAAATATCTTAAACTGCCAAGGTTTATTTTCTATTTTATAATAACTATCAAAATAACTCCATTTGATTACTACAAACTGAAATCATTAATATTATCATATTTTACCATATTCTACCTAGTTGACTATTCTAGTTATAAAAAAATTATTATAAAATTAAGAAGTAAAAACTATTAAACATTCATATTTTAGCTAATACTAGATACTACTATGTGCTCTCCATTATTTTCGTAGCATTTATTGATCCTTCTTATGGTTCAAGCTTGCTTATTGTTGAAAAATCTCCAGATAAGGTGTTAATTGCTATCGGTATTCGCTATTCTAAATGTAACAGATTTATAGGAGGCGTGACATAAGCCTTCTCCTTCAAGTAGGCCCAAATTCCCGAATCTATATGTTAAATATCTTACTTCTCTGCTATTGGGGGCATGTGCCCCATCTTGTTGAAATACAACATCTCTATTGTCAGCCAAGGGCAAACCACCAGCAAAATATTGTATTTCATTTTGCAAAAAGTTAATAAAGATAATCTCCCCATTTAAGGGTTCATAAAAAATATAGGACCAACTATGCGGGTTCCCAGAACTCCCAGCTATACGTTCATTCCAAAACGATCCTGAAACGCCCGTTCTCTTATCAAACGTGAATCTTCAGTTGTCCAGTAGCATATATCAATTTTATTAAATAACCCAAGATTTGTGAAACGCGATTCGTCAGACCACAAAATATGATAATTTGATAATGAAAATCTCTATCTTCTTGAAGTTAAGCACAAGACCAATTACGGTAGGCCAAATCTTCTTGGAAAATATTTTCGTATAAGTAACGGTGTACCTGATATTTATATGAGCGAAATCCATGTTTCTTCCAAATCCGCCTGGCTGACTCACGATTTACATTTGTCGCTTGTTCCAGTTGCCTAGGAGATACCTTTGGGTTTCACCTTCACTTCTTCACTTACTACGAAAGAGTTCTCTTTATCACCATTGACATCCTATTTATAAACTTTGTCTCTGACTTACTTTGCGCTGAGCGTACAACAGACAATCATTTCTAGAATTCTTCTGCATTCACCAAATATTAAAGCATATCAACATGCTGGTTTCTTATAAAGCTCATAGTAAAAATTACTGTAGGGTTACCTTTTATGGAATGGGGATAAGCGAAAATAAATTGTGAAACGAATTTTGTCAAACGTCAAATAACTAAACAATAACAAGTACGGTATGAATTGATTTTCATTTGTTTTCCACAGCCTCACATTCTTTTCCTATAAATGCTATTTGAAAACATCCTAAATTTTCATAGTCTCCTTACATTCTTGCGGAAATTGGTAACTTTAATGATACAGTTGTTATTTTAATTTGTTACTCAACCGATAATAGCTTGAAGAACATAATTGGAAATGCGTTTTGATTTAGAGCCAATAATAAAAAAACCTACTTTTTGTTTTGTAATACCCATAGCTCGTGGAGGTTAAATCACAAATTCTTGTATGCATTTGACAACAAAAGTAATGTTTGTTATACATCATTGACTAGAGAACTTTACGTAGAATAAGATTTCTGAAAAAGGCGTACAGGGTCCTGTTTAAAATGTATCAGAAATCCTGTGGTGAAGATGTGGATTCCTAATTTTTTCTTTTTTTTAAATAAATAAGCTAACATGAAAAACACATAATTACATTCATTTATTAAGCCCGTTTCAATAAATATTTGTTGATCACACCACCTTGACGGTTTAATATTTTTTTTGTCTTGTAAGCAATATGACGGATTTTAGGTTATTCACAAATTGCTTTACAGCGCCGCCATTTTAAAACAAAAGTATCACTTTTGATATATCGTTGGAAAGGAAATTTTGCATAGAGTACGACTATGGAAGAAAACATACTGGTTTCCATGTGAACAACAAAAGCCAAGGTCACTTCCGGTTGAGCCGGAAGGGAGAGATAACCCATTCAACTCTCC